AGGAATTCCTCCTGGCAGTGCTCGGGGGACCATATATGGGATGCTGGGAATCGAACCCCGGGTCGGTCATGTGCAAGGCAAGCGCCCTACCCACTGTGCTATCCTCCAGTCCTAGAGCCCACTTTAAAACAAAGCCTGCCCCAGAATTTCCACTTCAGTGGATCAGGATTTGCATTTCTAAATACCAGGGCTGCTGGGCAGGGAGCACATTTTAGGAACTCACACAGCTGCAACTGACACTCTGATAATTACCCAGCACTGAGCAAAGGGCCTGCCAGCAGAGTGACAAACTGCATGGGCTCCGAGTTCAGATCATGAACAGGTTATGACAAACGCCAGCAGCTGTTGGGCACTCTGCCACGAGGCACTGCCGTGCTTGTTCTCCACGGCTCACTCTGTGTGGGGAGCTCTTTATTTTTCCCAGTTAAGGGTGAGAACATGGGGTTTTCCAGAGACCAGGGAACTTGATCAGCCTAATGTAACATCAAGTAGCAGTTGTGAGGCTGCAGCCAAGACTGGCCTATTGTCTCAAGAACAGGAGGGAAGCTTGCCGGGGCCACGCCGTGACACTGGGCCAGGCCAGCCGTGCTGTGGTCTTCAGGCCCAGTGTCCCTAGGCCTCCAAGGGCTACATCCAGAGGTGTTTGGGGGCCATGCAGTGCAAGGGCTTGAATCTGAGTCCTGGCACACGCCAGCCATGGCCCCTGAGACCCGCACTCTCTCCTAGCACTCCTGAAGACATTTTGACTTTTTGGGTTTGTTTTTGAGCCACGCCCAGCCATGCTGCTCCAGGGCTATTCCCAGCTCTGCACTGAGGGTGACCCCTGGCAGTGCTTAGGGGGACATATGTAGTGCCGAGGATTCAAACCAGGGACACAGATGACTTAGCCACATGCAGCGCAAGTGCGTCCCTCTGTGCGATCTCTCTGGCCCCATGTTTGTACATTCTGAGGCATGATTTCCAAGGTTTTGCTAGGACACAAAGATGTGTAAAACTCCATGAGGAGGGACCAGTGCAGTAGCACAATGGCAAGGTGTGTGCCTTGCATGCAGCTGACCCATTTTCAATCCTCGGCATCCCATATGGTCCATCAGGAGTGATTGCTGAGTGCAGAGCCAGGAGTAGCCTCTGAGTACTGCCGGGTATGACCCAAAAACAAACAGACAAACCAACAAAAAAGAGAGAAATAAAAGTTTCATGAAGGAATATGTGGTGCCTTAGAATCCAGCTCCTTTTTTGGTGGGTGTAGTAGGGGGTTCAGTCATACCTGGTAGTGTATCTTTCTGACCCAGAGCCTTGCTTTTCGGTATAAATTATTCCCCCCCATGGGGGGGGTTCACGGTCACGTCCTCCTGTTGTTCATCGATTTGCTCGAGCGGGCCCAGTAACGTCTCCTTCGTGAGACTTCTTGTTACTGTGTTTGGCCTATCGAATACGTCACGGGGAGCTTGTCAGGCTCTGCCGTGCGGGCGAGATACTCTCGGTAGCTTGCCAGGCTCCCCAAGAGGGGTAGAGGAATCAAACTCGGGTCGGCCATATTGGGGGGGCTCACAAAAAACTTGGCAATGGGAAAATGTATCTGAATGTATTGCTCGAGGCTCGAAGCCCTCCCATTGATCATCAATTTGCTTGAGCGGGCCCAGTAACGTCTCCATTGGAGACTTTGTTGTTACTGTGTTTGGCATATCGAATACGTCACGGGGAGCTTGTATAATGAACAAAAACTAATTCAAAATAGAGCACGTCATGACTTTGAGGTGTTTCTGGCAGCACCTGCTCACCCACGTGGCATTTCTTAGATGAAATGCGGTCACAGGTACACAACTATTTTGGGAGATTCTGGAACCCGTGTCAGCTGCGTGCAGGGCAAACTCTTTATAGGCTGTACTATGGCCCCAGCCCCGAAGGGCAGAAAATTTTAAGCAGCCTGCTGTCGAGGGTGAATTTCTAGGAAAATTCACATCAGGAGAAACTGTTGACAAGGACAGCCAGCAGAAGAGAGCCGCTGTGGAAACCTCTGGGGGCTGGGGCGGCGAGATAAAAGAAGAAAAGGTCACTTTCAGGCCTCTGCTAGTGTGGCCTGGGGAAGCCGCTTCTAACAGCACTGAAGTTTCATCCATGAGATGTCAAATCTGCATTACGTGGGGCTGGAGCGATAGCACAGCGGGTAGGGCGTTTGCCTTGCCCGTGGCCGACCTGAGTTCGATTCCCAGCACCCCATATGGTCCCCTGAGCACCGCCAGGAGTAATTCCTGAATGCAGAGCTAGGAGTAACTTCTGAGCATCTTTGGGTGTGACCCAAAAAAAGCAAAAAAAAAAAATCTCCATTGGGTATCTGAGGCCCAGGCCAGCCCCAGCACCCCAGGACCCCAGGGCCTGGGTGCTACCCGCAATGTGGTGCACCCTGCCAGCACTTAAATTTGGTGTGAAGGGAAAGTTCGGCTTAATACTTTCACATTTGGGGAAAATACAATTTTCCCAGCACTGTTGTGGATTTTTCGGTCTTCTTTTGGGGCTATACCCTGCAGTGCTCAGAAGTTACTCCTGGCTATGCACTCAGGAATTACTCCTAGCCATGCCCAGGGACACCAGGGATGGAACCCAGGTCTGTGCGTGCCAGAGCCCTCCACTCTGCCCTATGGTTCCAGCGCCCCTCACCATTGTTGGAGAGACTCTTCCTCCCGCCTTGAGTAGACTTTGCGCCCTCGTTGACAGTTACTTGGGCATATGTACAAGCACTTGCTTCTGGGCTGTTCCTTTGTTCTCGTTACTCCTGGTGCCTGTGCTGTATTTGCTGCTATTTCTGGGTGGAATTTAACCTCCCAAGTCATGTCTGATTACATCACTGAGTCCTTGCCCAGGCTTTGTTGATTAGAAAATTGTAGCCTCCGAAAGTAGTCTCGTTGGTTTGCTTTGCTTTTTTCTTTGTTTTACCCTCATAAGATTCCCTAACCTCAGCGTGGAGATGATCCGGCATGCCTTCCACAGAGAAAGTTCCAGTATATTCTCTATTGCTCTTTTCTCCCGATGAATATCACAAACATTTTTTTTAATTTGGTTTTTTAGTTTTTGGGTCACATCCAGCAATGCTAAAGGTAAAGGCCCTCCCGTTGATCGTCGATTTGCTCGAGCGGGCCCAGCAACGTCTCCATTGGAGACTTTGTTGTTACTGTATCTGGCATATCGAATACTCTCGGTAGCTTGCCGGGCTCTCCGAGAGGGGCAGAGGAATCGAACTCGGGTCGGCCATGTTGGCCGCTTGTAAGGCGAACGCCCTACCTGCTGTGCTATCGCTCCAGCCCTGGCAGCATCTGCTCACCCAAGTGGCATTTCTTAGATGAAATGCGGTCACAGGTACACAACTATTTTGGGAGATTCTGGAACCCGTGTCAGCTGCGTGCAGGGCAAACTCTTTATAGGCTGTACTATGGCCCCAGCCCCGAAGGGTAGAAAATTTTAAGCAGCCTGCTGTCGAGGGTGAATTTCTAGGAAAATTCACATCAGGAGAAACTGTTGACAAGGACAGCCAGCAGAAGAGAGCCGCTGTGGAAACCTCTGGGGGCTGGGGCGGCGAGATAAAAGAAGAAAAGGTCACTTTCAGGCCTCTGCTAGTGTGGCCTGGGGAAGCCGCTTCTAACAGCACTGAAGTTTCATCCATGAGATGTCAAATCTGCATTACATGGGGCTGGAGCGATAGCACAGCGGGAGGTCGTTTGCCTTACTAAGCGGCCAACATGGCCCACCCGAGTTCGATTCCTCCGCCCCTCTCGGAGAGCCCGGCAAGCTACCGAGAGTATCTCGCCCGCAGGGCAGAGCCTGGCAAGCTCCCCGTGTCGTATTCGATATGCCAGACACAGTAACAACCAAGTCTCCAATGGAGACGTTACTGGGCCCGCTCAAGCAAATCGACGATCAACAGGAGGGTCTTTACCTTTACCTTTACCAGCAATGCTCAGGGGTTACACCTGGCTCTGCACTCAGGAATTATACCTGGCGGTGCAGGGAACTGGGGGGGCGGGGGCGGGGGCGGGGGCGGGGGTGGACGCAGGGAATGCCGGGATGAGCAGGAATCAAGGGAAGACCCGCCCGGCTTGTCCTGTCTCTCCGGACCAAATATTACAAACTTGCAATTGAACTTAAAAAGCACTGGTCCTGTACCACACGCGAGCCGTCTGCCCACGCCTCTCCGGGAGAGGTGGAGACGCTGCTCAGGCTGGGCGCAGGGCCCTCCTCATCGATGCTTCTAGCACTTTCCTCGCATCTGGTTGCCGTGCTGGCATCTTGCATGTAGCCGGGATCCCGCGGGCCCCGCGCGTGTAGCCATCCGGGGTCCCCGCGGGCCCTGTCCGTGTGGCCGGGGTCCCCCGTGGGCCCCGCGCGTGTAGCCAGCCGGGGTCCCCGCGGGCCCTGTCCGTGTGGCCGGGGTCCCCCGTGGGCCCCGCGCGTGTAGCCAGCCGGGGTCCCCGCGGGCCCCGCGCGTGTGGCCATCCGGGGTCCCCGCGGGCCCTGTCCGTGTGGCCGGGGTCCCCCGTGGGCCCCGCGCGTGTAGCCAGCCGGGGTCCCCGCGGGCCCCGCGCGTGTGGCCATCCGGGGTCCCCCCGGGCCCCATGCGTGCGGCCGGGGACCCCGCGCGGGGCCGGGCCGGGTCGGGCCTCCCGCGTCCCCTGCGTAATCCCCGTGGATCGCGGCGCGTCTTTCCCCTCAACCCCCACCCCGGGTGTCCGCGTGTCCGCCCGCGGGCCATGGGCCCGGGTCCGAGGGGGCAGTGCGCGCGCGGTGCCGTCCCCGCCCCCGTCTCCGCGGAAACGCGGCGCGCGGGCGGCCGGGGCGGGGCGGGGCCGGCCGCTGCCCCCGCCTCGCCGGTGCCCAGCGGCGGCCGCCGCGTCCCCTTCCCCTTCCTGCTCCCGTGCCCGGCGGCCGTGGCCTGGCGGTGGCCCGGGCCGCACCCCGAGGCGGGCGCGATCGCGGCGGGTCCAGCCCGGGCAGCGCCGGCTGGGCAGGGGCCTCCCGGGGCCCGAGTTTCCTGCGCGCGGAGGAGGCCGGGCCGGGCCGCGGGGCCATGGACGAGCCCCCCGTCCGCGGGTCCGACGACGACGGGGACGACGAGGCGGGGCCCGAGGGCGCGCTGCGCAAGAGCCCGTCGCAGCTGACCGCCGAGGACGTGTACGACATCTCGTACGTGGTGGGCCGCGAGCTGATGGCCCTGGGCAGCGACCCCCGCGTCACGCAGCTGCAGTTCAAGATCGTGCGCGTGCTGGAGCTGCTGGAGGCGCTGGTGAGCGAGGGCTGCCTGGAGGCGGAGGCGCTGCGGCTGGAGCGCGACGCGCTGCAACAGGAGCTGGAGCGGTTGCGGTGCGCGGGCGGCGGCGCGGTGAGTGCGGGGCGCGCGCGGGGCGGGGGCCACGCGGCCCCCACGGCGCCCACCCAGCCGGGGGCAACCCCGAACCTGCATTTCCCGACGCGCCTCGCCCGTCCCCGCCCCTTCTGGACTGTGTCCCATCATCCCCCTCCCGGCAATCTTTGAGCCGAGTGAAAGCTCCATCTCAGCGGAAAGGGCAACAGTAGCTCGAGGCCGCAGACCCAGGAGCCCGAGTGGCTTCTTGTGGCTGTTTGTTGTGAGGCCACACCCGCAGGGCTCAGGGGGAAGCGGCTCCCCGCTCTGCGCTCGGGAGCGAATCCCGGGGGTCCCTGGGATGCTGGGCTGGGAGCAGGCCGGTGGGTGCAAGGCCAGCGCCCTCCCCGCTGTCGCCCCAGCCCTACAGAGCAGCTTTATTCCTGACGGTGCCCGACTGGAAACAGCCCAACTGAATTCATCCACCAGGTGGACTATTGCACAGCCTTGCAAAAGAACAGAGGGCCCCGACGCAGCTGTGTCGCAGCTGTGTGAAGGCACCTCTGGAGGGAGACACAGAGAGAGAGAGAGAGAGAGAGAGAGAGAGAGAGAGAGAGAGAGAGAGAGAGAGCAGCGCTGGAAGGGGTCTGCCATCAGGAATAAGGGAAATTTCTCATGGGACCCACTTCACCCTCTGCGCCAGGCAGTGAGCCTGCGGGATGGGCGCTGAGACACCCCAACTCTAGATGTTGCTCAAGGCTGTAAGCTGAGAAGGGGCAGGGGCGGCCTGGGGTCTCCTGGCACTGTCCCCTCGGCTGCCCTCTAGGCTCAGGCTCGTGGTGCTTGGAGACTGGGCGTCCACTCGAGGTGGCCAGTGTCCCCACCTACCCCCGATTCAAGTTGAGCCCTGCCCAGGACGCTCTGCTCCTGGTATCTGGGCCTGCAACTCCGCCCTGGGCTGTAGAGAAAGCCCCCACCCTGCGCCCGGATCAGTGTGGTTTGTGGGGTTTCCTGGTGAAGCAGGGGGACAGACCCCCGTGGGGGAAACGGCACCTCCTCCTCCCAGATGGCACGATGGGGCAGGGCAGGGCAGTGTGATCACCGCGCTGGGTCACAGTCGGGTGCCCCGGGATATCTGAGAGGAAGCACAGCAGGAGATGAGGGGCCCACAGGGGCCACCGGAAAGCGGGGGACAGAGGAGGCGCCTTGCCGGAGGGTGAGAAATGGGGGCCCAATGTCACCCACCTGCCTGCTTCCCTTTTGTGGCTGCTACGTGCACGGCAGGGCTCCCCCGCCCTGGCCAAAACACTGGCCCCTTTCGTTTTCAAACTATTGTGTTTACTCTGGGCAGAATGTGAAATTTCTCATCTCTGGGGAGTTCAGTGGGTAGGGCACTTGCCTTCCACACAGCAGACCCAGGTTGGACCCCTGAATCCTGAGCACCTCCAGGCGGGGCCCAAAACCCAAATGCGAAGGAAAAAAAAATTTTTTTTCATCCTAGCCACTTGCACAGCTTGGCGGCAGTGATCAGTGGGGTTGTGAATGTGCCATCGCCTCGGTCGGTTCCCCCAGAAAACCAGAAACCGTCCCCACCAAAACATGACTCCGTTTCTGCCCCTGCCTGTCCCTCTGAACGCGCCCGCCCCAGCTACGTGAACCAAGTTCAGCATCTGGCCTTTTCATTCGCCAGAGTAGTCTCTGGATTCACCCACTGTGTGGCCCATCACCAGAACTTCTTTCATTCTTTTTACTGATTTATCGATAAATTTATCTTTTATTTAGGGGTCACACCAACCAGTGCTCAGGACTTATTCCCAGCAGTGCTCCGGAAACCATATTTGGTGTCAGGGATCAAACCTAGGTCATCCCCATACAAAGCAAGCGTCTTCCCTGCCATGCTATCTCTCAGGCCCTGAATTTCTTGTTTTTATTTTGTATTTTTTTTATTTAATGGGCTGGAGCGATAGCACAGCGGTAGGGCGTTTGCCTTGCACACAGCTAACATGGCCGACCCAAGTTCGGTTCCTCCGCCCCTCTCGGAGAGCCCGGCAAGCTACCGAGAGTATTCGATATGCCAGACACAGTAACAACAAAGTCTCCAATGGAGACATTACTGGGCCCGCTCGAGCAAATCGAAGATCATCGGGAGGGCCTTTACTTACTTTACTTACTTTATAAAGTTGCTCACAATGATTTATTAGATTCAATATTCCAACACCAATTCTACCACTATTACACCTTCCCACCACCGTTATTTGGAATTTTCCCAACCACCACCCCAGCCTGTCCCGATAACAGGCCCAAATTTCTTTTATTGTTTTCATTTTTTTTTGTTCATATTTTTTTGCTTTTTGGCGATGCACAGGGCTACTCCTGGCTCTGCACTCAGGAATCACCCCTGGTGGTGCTCTGGGAATTGGACCTGCTGTGCTCCAGCCCCCCGAATTTTTTTTTAAAGACTGGATTGGGTCACGACGATGGTCCAGAGGTCTGGAGCAGAGTTCTTCTTGGTTCTTTTTTTAAATTATAACATTTTTTTAATGAAGTTGTTCACAATAATGTATTTCAGCACCAATCCCACCATCATTACACATTCCCACCACCATTATTTTGAATTTTCCCACCACCACCAAGCCTGCCTCAAAGGCAGATGCTGGACTGGAGTGATAGCACAGCGGGTAGGGTGTTTGCCTTGCATGTGGCTGACCCGGGTTCAATTCCCAGTATTTCATATGGGTCCCGAAGCACCGCCAGGAATAATTCCTGAGTGCATGAGCCAGGAGTAATCCCTATGCTTCGCCAGGTGTGACCCAAAAAGAAAAAAAAAGGCGGATGCAAAGTAATTTATTTTGTATTGCTTCTTATGAATAATCCACTAAAAATTATCCAAAAAGTTTTCCTTAGAGGAAAGTGTGTGAAGACTGTTGCATCTGACCTCGTGCCCCTAAGCCCTGTAGCCCTGTGGAGATCACTAATATGCTGCTACAGACTGGGCCCTGTGTGGAGCACAGTTCTCGCCTGTGGAGAGGCCCAAGTCACATAGGACTGGAGAGATAGAACAGTGGATGAGGCGCCTGGGTTCAAGCTCCAGCATCCTATGTGGTCCCTTGCGTCCTGACAGGAGTGACCAAAAAAAATAGTTGCCGGGCCAGAGTGATAGCACAGCAGGGAGCGTGTTTGCCTTGCATGTGGATGATCCAGGTTCGATCCCCCGCATCCCATAGTGATCCCTGAACACAGAGCCAGAAGTAACCCCTGAACAATGCTGGGTGTGACCCAAAAAGCACGGTAGCACTGTCCTCCCGTTGTTCATCGATTTGCTCTAGCAGGCCCAGTAACGTCTCCATTGCGAGACTTGTTACTGTGTTTGGCATATCGAATACATCATGGGTAGCTTGCCAGGCTTTGCCACGCTGGCAAAATACTCTCGGAAGCTTGCCAGGCTCTCCGAGAGGGGTGCAGGAATTGAACACGGGTCGGCCTGGTTGGCCGCATGCAAGGCAAATGCCCTATCCGCTGTGCGACCACTCCAGCCCACCCAAAAAGCAAAAAAAAAAAAAAAACTTGCCAAAGAATGTTCTGTTTGGGGGGAGGCGTGGGCCACACCTGCCCAGCGCACTAAGCCCAAAGGGAGCAGCCCGCAGCTCTGCCTGGGCACCCCGTGTACTGTGCAGCCTGCATTCTGGATGTCTCTGCCTGCAGTGTTTGCACCCAGCCCTGCCGTTCCCCCTGTGATGCGCGGGAGTGGGCAGCAGGCACACTGATAACCGCCTGGAGGATGCTGTCCCGGGCCGGGCTCTCGCCTCCTGGGTTGGGGCCGGGCACTGTTGCTCCCCTTCCCCGGGCGGAGCAGGGCAGGCGCCGTGCTCCCTGCTGAGCGGCTGTGCTCTCTCCTAGGGCAGCCTGGGCCTGAACAAGATGGTGGTGGACCTGGCTGACCCTGAGCGGCCGCGCTTCACACTGCAGGAGCTCAGGGAGGTGCTGCAGGAGCGCAACAGGCTCAAGTGCCAGCTGCTAGTGGCGCAGGAGGAACTGCAGTGCTACAGGAGGTAGGCGCGGGCCAGGCGCGGGCTGGAGTGGACATGTGTGAACCGTGGCACGAGCCAGGGGCTGGGTGCAGCTCTGCCGAGGCCCTGAGACCCACCCAGATGTAAAAACCAAATCACAAAAAGAAAAAGAATGGGGGGCCAGAGCCATAGTACCGGGCCAGGGCAGTAGTCCAGCGGGGAGGGCACTTGCCTTGCACGCAGCTGACCCGGGTTCTATCCCGGCATTCAGTATGAGCCCCCAAGCCCCGCCAGGAGTAACTGCTGACACCGCCAGGAATGACCCCGAAAGCAAAATAAATAAAAGTAAAGTAAGTAAGTAAAGACCCTCCCGTTGATCATCGATTTGCTCTAGCGGGCCCAGTAACGTCTCCATTGGAGACTTTGTTGTTACTGTGTCTGGCATATTGAATACGTCACGGGGAGCTTGCCAGGCTCTGCCGTGCGGGCGAGATACTCTCGGTAGCTTGCCGGGCTCTCCGAGAGGGGCAGAGGAATCGAACTCGGGTCGGCCATGTTGGCTGCGTGCAAGGCAAACGCCCTACCGCTGTGCTATTGCTCCAGGCGATAATAAAAAAATAAATAAAAAGCAGCTGACCTGTTTCAAGCCCTGGCACCACTAAGCCTGTGATGTAGAGCCAGGAGGAAACCCTGAGCATGGCCAGCTCTGGCCCCACAACCCAAAAAACAAGAATAAAAACAAATTACTTAGAAATGGGGGAAAAAAAAGAAAAAGAAAATGGGGGCCAGAGAGATAGTTTAGGTAGGGTGCTTGGATTCAATCCCAGCATCCCATATGGTCCCCCAAGCCCCGCTAGGAGTGACTCCTGAGTGCAGAGCCAGGAGTCACCCTGAGCATTGCTGGTGTGACCCGAAAACAAGGGAAAAACCCACTAACATTGGGCCGGAGAGAGCGTTCCGGGGGGATAAGGAAGAGGCCAGGAATGAGCCTGAGCACAGTCAGGTGTGGCCCCTATCACAAAGCAGCCTGTCCACCAGAGCATTCTCCCAGCACGAAGTGTGATCTGACACGCGGGCAGGTAGCGTGGAGTTTGTCTCTCCACATGCCCTTTGCCACGAGCCGTCTGGAGCCAGTGTGCCCTCCCTGTGCCTCCGGCTGCCCTCCACGGTGGCACTGGCACGTGGCTTAAATACTCATTGAATGTGGCCTGAATTTCCTTTTTGGGGGCCCAACCGTGCCCAGGGTTCTGGGGGTCTTGGCCACATGCAAGGACTTAGCTGCGCTGTCTTTCTTGGCCTCCTTTTATAAATAAACGCCCTCGGTGCTACCTGTTTATTGGGCTGCTCAGGGGTGAGAGAGAGGGTGAGCTTCACACATGCAAAGCTTCTCCTGTCATCTGAGTCACAGTGGTCCAGGGGCCCGCGTTAATCTCGCATACGCCCTTAGCTCGGGAAGGCCGATGCCCTGACCATCCTCCCTTTACTGACTGGGACACCAAGATATGTATTAGTCTCTTTAGGGAGGGGATGGGGGTGCCACACCGAGGGGTGCTCAGGGATCTCTCTTGGCCAAGGACCACATGGGGTGCCAGGCATGGAACCCGGGTCAGCCTCATGCAAGGCAGACACCCTACCCATTGTCCTCTCTCCAGGCCCTTGTGTTTTGCATGTTTTTTTTTCCCTGGGTGGGGGAGGAGTCATACCCAGCAGAATGCAGAGGTCGCTCCCTGCAGTGCGCAGGGGACAGTATGGCCTGGGGGTTGGACCTCGGCCTCAGCCTGCCGAGCTACACCCCCCCCACGTCAGAGTGTTTCATATGCTCTCGTGCTCCAGGACACTGGAGAAGCCTGGAGTCCTAGCCAGCGTCCTTAGACCGGGGAAGGAAGGAGGCTGTAGCCTGGGAGACGGAAGGCTCTCACAACCTACACCAGAAGCTCCGACCCCGCATCTTCTTTTTCTGTGGGGGAAGGGGGCACTCACGGCTCACTCCTGGCTCTCACTCAGGACCCTCACGAGGTGCCGGGCTGGAGCTCAGGTGGGCCGCGTGCAGGGCCAACACCCTCCCCGCTGTGCTGTTGCCCCTGCCCCGGGGTTCGAATCCTTCATTGATGACTTTGTGACGGCTGAATCCCGAGAACCCGTGCTTTAACATCGGTCCCATTTATATGCCCCTTTTCCAGTGGCCTGATTTCGCCCAGAGAAGGCCCAGGAGGAAGAAGAGAAAAAGATGCCCTGGCTGCCAGGGCCAGCAGTGCCAGTGGGAGCAAGCAGGAGAAGACCGCTCTGCGCAGGCTGTGAGTCCCCTGCCTGGCCGCCCGGGGTCCGGACCGGCTCTGGTCTCGCTGCTATCAGCTCCTGGACTCTGGACCTGGTCACATCCATACAGACACCCACACCTGTACACACCCCTGTACATACGCACCTGCACCCACATACACTCGCAATACCCACCCCTGTAATACTCATCTGCACCCACATACAGCCGCAACAACCACCCCTGTACATACACACCCGCACCCACATTCACCCGCAATACCCACCCCTGTACATACACACCCGCAACACCCACCCCTGTACATACACACCCACACCCACATGCACCCGCAATACCCACCCCTGTACATACTCACCTGCACCCACATACACCCTCCATACCCACCCCTGTATATACACATCTGCACCCCTATACTATATACCTGCACCCACACCCACAATACCTCCCCCATACGGACCTGCACCCAAACACCACTATCACCATCACTATCACCCTGTTCTTCAATTCGCTCGAGCGGACCCAGTAACATCTCCATTCATCCCTGTGAAGTGCAAGTGTAGCCCGATGACATATTGGGGACTCCTTCAGTGTCAGGGGAATGAGGACCATTCATTGTTACTGTATTTGACATATCCAGTACGCCATGGGTAGCTTGTCAGGCTCTGCCAAGTGGGCGGGATACTCTCGGTAGCTTGCCGGGCTCTCCTAGATGGATGGAGGCTTTTGGGGCAGCCTCTAATCACCTTTACAAGTGTTCCTAGTCAGGCATATAGGCAGGTGTGATATTCTCAGTAGCCTGCCGGGTTCTCTGATGAGAACCAGAGAATAAGAGGTTGCTTCCGGGAGCTTGGTTTTATAGTCTCTGGATGGCCATTGATGGGGTTACACGGCAGTTGGTAGGTGTAACTGTCTAGCTACTGGAAGGTGGAGGAGCTGGGTGGAGGAGGCTCAGTCCCGAACTGAGCAGGCTTGGAGATCGCAGCCCCGGGTCCTGCACACCTGGGTTTCTCTGCCGGTTCCTCGCCCAAGCATGTGGAGAGTGGTCTCAGCATGGCTTTGGCTGGGTCCTGGAGGTCTTCAGCTGTCGGGGCTCTGCTCGAGGCGGAGAGGGAAACTCAACACCCCCTCCTCCAAGGGGTCCCAGTGAGGACAGCCAGGGGCAGGAGACTCAAACACCATGCACATATATTAACACACATCTGCACACATATACACCTATGCATTCAAACATACATACCTCAATCCACATACACTCACACATCTCTGTGCCCGCCCAGCTCCTGCACACATGTCCATCCTCATCCACACCCACACCCCCACAGGGAGGTGCCTGGCTCCTGGCCTGGCAAGGAGGTCCCGGGCCCCATCCGTGTTTGAGCATCTGCCAGGCTGTCACACAGATGGACCAAGTGACCCTCTGAGGGAGGACTGGCACGTATGCCCATTCTGCCATTCTGGCCGTGGAGAAGCTGAATAGTGATTATCGAGCTGTTATGAGTCGCCCCTAGGAGGGGACAGTTCACTGCCTCCCTGTGGTACGATAGTCTTCAACAGTAAAAACCATGACAATAACTACTTGGGCTCTAGGGGGTTAAATCCCTCCCTCTCTCCCCTGATTTGGGGGATCCTGCGTCTCCCACTGCTGACATGTGTCATGACATTCCCCCAGTATCTCCCTCATGTCTGTTTGCTCCATTGACCCCTCCCATTCCTTTGGGTGCTGAGCCTCAAATCAGAGTGGGGGGGCTTGATTCCCAGCCGAACAAAACACAGCCAGCAGGCACTTCCTTGCCTTGCGGTTAGCTGACCTGGCTTTAATCCCTGGCACCCCTCAGAGTTCCCTAGTGTCAGCCTCTAAGCACAGAGCCAGGAGTCAGCCCTGAGCATGACCAGGGGCGGCCCTAAAATAAAATAAAGGTGCAGAAGCCATTGGTCCTGGGAGGCCTCAAGCACACTGCTGGCTGCAGGCCCGCCTCCGCCCCCACCGTCTCATCCCCCTCTGTTCTCCCAGGTTCTTTTTCCGGTCGGGGAAGCAGACATAGACCAAAGGCCGTGACGTTGATGGCAGCAACTTCTCAGACCCAAGAAGGCAACCTGCTGATGTCCAGAACGGTCTCAGGGCCACCACATTGTATTCTCCTTCCCTTCTCGCCGAGGCTGGGGAGAGATGGCCCCAAGCTCCAGGGCTGCAGAGCTGGTCAGCCCCAGAGGCTCGGCCCCAGAATCGTGGAAGCACTTCAAAGCCCCCACAACAAGGAACCCCGATGCTCCCGGGGCCGTGCTCTGAGGCGGCAAGGCAGCTGGCAGCCTGGGTCGGAAGGCAGGGCGCAGCTACTGACGTTGCAGGGGTGCTTTCCCCACGCTTAATAATTATTCCATCTTGCTAATGTGACTTTCTCTACATGGGTTTTGTATTAAAGGTGACTTGAAGCTTTCCTGTAGTGTTGTCTCTTAGAATGCGGGCGGTCCATCGGCTCCGTCTCCTACTGGCCCTTCCTGACCTCCCCGCTTAGGAACAAGGGGCCCTGGGTCGGGGCGTTTGCGCTGCACGCAGCTGACCCCAGAACTCGCTCCCCCGCACACACGGTCCCCCCGGCACAGAGCCCCTCCAAACAATTGAAAAATTAAAAGAACAGGAGACACACAGGTAGCCTGGCAATAAATATTTTAATTTCATTTTTATGATGACAAATAATTTTCAAGTTTACTTCGCTTTCTTAAATACAAAGCTGAACCACAAACAGGCACAGCCCTACGGTCCGTCTCTCGCTGACACACCCTGTCAGGGCCCCTGCGATTCGCTGACCAGGCAAGTGTGGGTAGGGAAGACCTTAGCACCGTGGCGAGGCGGGCGGGCTGGGGGCACCAGGCTGAGGAGGGCGCCCAGGCCGGACTGTTCATGCTGGCCCGGGCGCAGGGCCCAGGAGGCCCGGGATGGGCGGTGGCAGGAGGGTCACAGTGCAAGAGAGAACTGCACCTTGGTCTGTGTCCGAGCCCCCGACCACCCCGTCTGCCGGGCCTTTCCTGGAGGCTGGGGCGGTGCCCCCGAGTGCATGGCGCCTCCGGGCAAAGAGACAGCAGGTGGGTGGGTACAGCCCAGACCCGCGGTCGGCGACCTTCAACCAACCCAGCGGAGCGGGGACAGGCGGAGCGGGTAAGTAATTTCTGGTCCCACTACAAAACTTTATTTTTGATTAGAACAGAGTACCATCCAAATCTCTCCTACAAAAAGGAAAAACACAAAAAAGCCAAAACAAAACAAACGAAACACCGCAGCCGCTTCACTCGCTCCAAGTCCTATATACACACAAGTCGCTTTCTGTGGGTTTTTCCTTTTTTACCTTTTTTTTTTGGATTTTTATTATTTTTCTAAAATAAACTCAGTGTTCACATTTCTATAAAGAACTGTTTCCCAGTTTCGGGAACCCCTGGCCCGTCCCTGTGATTCCCTGCCCTGAAGCTTGGGGTACCCGGGGAGGCCACGGAAGAGGGGCTGCGGGCCGGCCCTGGCCTGGCCCGGGTCAGCAAGCTGTCGAGAGAGCAGGGGGAAGACTGTGGGCTGCACACCTGTGAGACTCACGCGTTCACGGTGCACCTGGCGAGACGTGAGGGGAACAAGAGCTTGAAAGCATCCCGTCCAGGCTTGGGGGTGGGGGGCCCCTGCCCAGCTCGGACCAGATGCTCGCCCCTGAAAACCTGTGCCGAGTCTTGGACTGCATGCACGGGAAGCACAAACTTTCAACTTGTATGCAAAAAAGATACAAAAACAACTAGGATATAAAAGTTTTGGTGATATAAGGCCATCTGTTCCAGTCCACCTCGGAAACCTGTAACAGATATTTAAATACTACAGTGAAAAGGCATCTTAATATACTTTTTAAAAACATCTGAATCTGCTAAGATTAAGTGTGTAAAAAAAAAAAATCTGATTCCCTTTGAGGGCACTTGTCCACGGCGGTCAGTGCTTCAGCCAGGGGTGCGCCTCAAGGGACGCGCGGCTGCGGTCCCCGTAGTCGTAAAGCAGCTCCTCCCCGGCCTCGATGTCGCGGGAGGCGATGAGGATTAGGTGAGGCACGCCCGCGATGTCGTGCAGCTTTGTCTGGCAGTTCCCGCACTTGCTGTGGTTAATGAGCCTCCCCAGGCGGTCGGTCTCCCGGGTGGCGTCGACGCTGGCGGGGGAGGGGACACACACCGGGGATTAGACAGGCAGGAGGGCACTGCACTGGGGCGGGGGGGTGGGGGGGGGTGGTGGTGTGTGCAATCCCGGACATTGGCGGGAGAGACCCCTGAGCACCGGCCAGTGAGGTGTCAGAGCCAAACAGAACGGCAGGGCTTGGGGCTTGGGGTGCAGAAGGCTCCCGGCGGGGGCGCAGGATGTGACTGCAGAGTTCTGCACAGTGAAATCGCCCCTGGGTGGGGGAGGCTGTGGCTGTGTCTGCAGGGAGCAGACAGGAACTGCCTGTACTTTCTGCTAAATTTTGCTGGGAACCTAAAACTTCTGTGAAAAAAAAGTGTTGGAAAAAAACAAAACATCAGGGGCTGGAGCGCTAGGACAGCAGCTAGGCCGTGTGCACACAGCCGACCCAGGCAGGAGGGCACCGCAGAAGTGATTCCTGAGACCCGAGCAATAGTATAGCGGGTAGAGCATTTGCCTTGCACGCGGCCGACCCAGGTTTGATTCCTGGCATCCCATAGGGTCCCCCGAGCACCTCCAGGAGTAATTCAAGAGTGCAGAGCCAGGAGTAACCCCTGAGCATCGCCAGATATGACCCAAAAATTTATAAAAAAAAAAGTAATTCCTGAGCACAGTCAGGAGTAACTCTGAGCACTGCACTGCCAGATATGGCCAGAAAAACCCCCACCTCAAAAAAAAAAAAAAATCAGTGGCAGGACTCAAGATGGGCCAGCAGGTAGGGCACTTGCCTTCCTTACAGCTGACGCTGGTTTAAAGCTCAGCACCGCATACAGTCCCCTGAACACCACCAGGAGTGACCCCTGAGCGCCTACTGGATGAACCCCCCCCTCGCAAACACACACGACAGGACAGTGGACAGAAGGGCTTCACAGGGAAGGGCGGTCCAGACTGCGGTCTGCCCAGGCTGATGGGTCTTCCCTGGAAGCGGTCGGGTCGTGTTGTTGCTGAGCTGCTCCAATAAAGCCATGGGGAAGCGGGCAGTGACCGAGCTGTCCCCCCGCCGGCTCACCCGGCACTCACCAGTAGGTCTTGCTTAGGTACTGGAAATAATACATGTAGCAGCCCGTGGAGGGGTCCTGCGCGTACAGCGCCTCCCGCTTCTTGGCGTCGGTGATCTCGATGAGGTCCCCGTGGTACTCCACCACGAACTCGCCCCGAGAGAACTGCTTGGTGGCAATCACCCCCCTGCCCTTGCCATCGATGAGGTCAATCTGATGGGAGGGGACGAGAGGGTCGCTCACCAGCAGGAGGGCAGCGGACCGGGTCCCTCACTAGCTCCATGATGCCCCAGTGAACTTGCTTGGGCAGGCCGCGCACATCCACAGGTGACCGCAGCTAGCCCACAGTGAGGCCAGGAGCATCAGCCCCAAATGCTCTCTTGCGCTTCTCTGCAGGTCACGGCCCACGCAGGCGAGAGCTGCTAGGCAGGGCGTGCCCGCTGCTACGGACAAGGAGTCTCAGCCAAGAAAGTGGGCAGTACAGACAAACCCCTGAGGCGGGCGACCCTCGGGGCCAGCAGGAGCCAGCGCAGCTGTTTCTCCACACTCACTCCACGTGGTGCTGGGATGCAGGCTGGGATGCAGGCTCTGCCCGCTCCTCGCTGAGGTCCGTGTCCCGCAGCCCCGCCGGGGCACCCAACGGAGACACAGCAAGACAAAAGCAGAATTACTGGGCACTACCATTTCTCAGGAGGAATTTAGGGGAAACAGGCTCCATTTCCCTGGGGCAGGAAGCCATCAGCACAGCTGCAGTTCCGGCCCCTCGCCACAGGGCCTGGCCTGAACACACCATCTAGTCAAGTCCAAAACTGCACAGGCTGGGGCTGGAGAGATAGCACAGTGGGTAGGGCATCTGCCTTGCACGCGGCCGACCCGGGTTCGATTCCCAGCATCCCAGCATGGTCCCTTGAGCACCGCCAGGAGTAACCCCCGTGCATCACTGGGTAAAGGTAAAGGTAAAGGCCCTCCCGTTGATCGTCGATTTGCTCGAGCGGGCCCAGTAACGTCTCCATTGGAGACTTTGTTGTTACTGTGTCTGGCATATCGAATACTCTCGGTAGCTTGCCGGGCTCCCCGAGAGGGGCGGAGGAATAAAAAAGCAAAAAACAAAAAACAAAAAAAACTGCACAGGCTTCAGCTGCCGGAGGGAGCCGGAGACAGCAGCGGCCTGCGGGGCCTGAGAGCAAAGCTGGGGAGGCGCTGAGGCAACGGGCTGCTAACACTCAGCGGTGCCCTCTAGGAGGGCAAGAAAATTCCAGATCAGCCATAGACAGTCCAACAGGCCAGTACATGCTCCTTAGGAAGGATGCCTGAGTTCCTGCAGAGGCACCAGTTGGAGCGACCCAAGCAATGCTGGGTGTAGCCCCAAAACCAAAGCAGAAAGGAGAAAGAAAGCCTAGGGGTCAGGCAGGGGCGAGGGTACCGCGGCTCTGCCACACTGGACATCAGCAGCGGTGGCTGGAGCGACCGCACGATGGGGAGGGTGTCCGCCTGACCTGCGGCCGGCCTGGGCTCCATCCCCAGCACCCTGTATGGTCCCGAGTCAGTCAGGAGTGACAGCTGAACATGGCTGGGCGTGACCCCAAATAACACAGCAGTGGGGCTGGAGCGATAGCACAGCAGGTAGGGCGTTTGCCTTGCATGCAGCGGACCCGGGTTCGATTCCCAGCATCCCATATGGTGCCCCGAGCACCGTCAGGAGTAATTCCTGAGTGCATGAGCCAGGAGTAACCCTGTGCATCATCAGGTGTGACCCCAAAAAACAACAATAAAACAAAAAAATAACACAAAAGAACAGAGCTTGAGGATGGGGCTGGGGAGATGACACAGAGCAGGGCTTAGCCTGCAGGAGGCGCCAGCCCGCCCGCACGGCAGGTCCCCCCCTCCATGCTCCCTGGAGCCAGCCTCTCACCTTCATTCCTTCTTCCTTCCCGCTTTCAATCAGCTCATCTATTCTCCTTCGTTCCTCGGACTGTGAGGGAAGAGCAGGAAGCACGTTAGCGTCAGCATGCCCTCTGGGCCCCCAGGGCCATCTCAGGCGGCCTCTGTGATGCAGACACCCAGCGAGTTCCCATGCCAGACCTCCATCCTTGTGGCCGTGGGCAGGGTCACCGACTTTGCTTGAACCCCACAGGCAGGAAGTGGCGTGTGGTGTTCTGCCTACCCTGCCGGGGACTGGTGGCATCTTTTGGTTCTGGGAACACTCTAGCAGTACTGGGGACCAACCCTGGGCTCCCAGTCGCAAAGCTTGTGGCCAGTCCTTTGGGCTCGCTCCTGGCCTTCGCCTGGGCAGTTTTAAAAAATGTTCCTAGTGGGCCAGAGAGATGGTATAGCAGGAAGGGCGTCAGCTGAGCCGGGTTCCATCCCTGGCACCCCACATGGTCGGTCCCCTGAGCAAAGAGCCAGGAGTCAGCCCTGAGCACTAACAGATGAATCCCCAAAACAAAGGAAAAGATCTTTGAGGTCAGGAGACAGCTCCCTCGGCCTGGAGAGGTCCAGGCCCACCCCCGGCACTGCCGAGCTGGGAGAAGCCCCAAGGACCACCAGTGTGACGAGAAGCGGGCCCCCCCACCCAGAATTTGGCACTCGATCCCCTGCCTGATGTCCCCAAGAAGTCATGTGGGGCCCTGGGGCCTGCCCTGGCTGCATTTAACAAAGCTTCGTGGCGAGTTTTCTCCCGACACAAACAGGCCATGGCAAACACCGGGCTGACAGCTGCTGCTGGGGGTGCCAACCTGCTCCTTGGGGACAGAACAGCTCACGTACCAATTCTCACGGGGTAGAATCCATTTTCTACCAAACGGCACGCTGTGGGAGCCAAGGGCACCCTGTGGGAGCCAGGGTGGCCTCCCCATCACTGTTCACAGGCCCCCGGCCCCTTCCAGGCCATTTGCCCGATTTGGACCTTCCTACTCCCACATGCTACACTGGCAGCCACCGGCTCTGCAGGCTGTTCTCATGGGGGCCCCCATTCTGCTGGCTGCAGTGACTCCCTCACCACGGTGACATAGGTAAGGGCCACAGCAATGATCGCGCCCACACACACACACACACACACACACACACACACACACGCACCCCATGCTGAACAAGAGGAAGGGACTTCCAGCTCTGTGTTCTGCGCGGGGCAGCAGCTAGGGGGCTTCCTGCATGTGCCAATGGGGAGGCTACAGTCAAGCAGGGCTGGCAATGGGCATGCCAACGTGGGGCTGCTGAGGAGCCGGGGACAGAGTTGGGACAGGTGTGGGCAGGAGTTGGGACAGGTGTGGGCAGAGGGCTGTCTACGACAGAAAGCTGGATGGCGCACTCGTGTGCACCGAGGCTGTGTGGGCATGATGCCAGGGCATGGCCCAGACCCACCCCAGCCAGGCCCAGGAGAGGCCCCAGAGGAGGCGTCAGAGGTGTCTGCTGAGCTTCCACCTCAGCGGCACAGGCCGGGATCTGGTTCCTGCCAGCCCAGAGGGAGCCAGGCCTGGGCTCTCACCCGCAGGCGGTCCTGCAGGAAGCGATACAGGGCATACAGGAGCCCCGCAGAGGTGCCGTCCAGGCAGTCAGCATTTGTCAGCACACGCCCGGCCGCCCCCGCCTAAGGCAGAAATGCCTTGTCTACTGATTAGAGGCCCAGTGAGCCCTGAACCCTGAGCGCCCTGAGTGGGCAGGCGCAGCAAGGCCCGGAGCAGAGGGACTCAAGGCCTGGCCTGGCCTGGGCCAGCCTGGTCTCTACTGTAGGCCAGTGAGCCACAGCTCCTGCCGGTACTCGGTGAAGGTACAGGACAGGATGGGGGTTTATGGGGCTTTCCACCCGGAGAGTGGCGCCTGACCTCTCTGTTCCCTCCCGGAAGACTCTCCCCGTGAGAAAGGCTGTGACTAGGTGCCTGTCCCAATATTCTGAGGTCCTGGGATATGTCCAGCCCATCCTTATCGAGCCAAAGAATGCTGTTCTCCAGGGGCGGAGAGCACCCTGGCCCCAGGCTTTTCCTCATATTTATCTCTTTTTCTTCCTTTCCTTCCTTTTTTTTCCCCCCGCTTTTTGAGTCTGAGTCATACTCAGCCATGTTCAGGGGTTACTCCCGGCTTTTCACTTACTCCTTGCGGTGCTGGGGGACCATATGAGATATACCAGGGATCAAACTTGGGTCGGCCACATGCAAGACAAATGCCCTATTACTCTGGTCCCTTTTTTCTGTTTTCAGGTCATATCTGGCATGCGCAGAGCTTACTCCTGGCCCAGTGCTCAGGGATTGCTCCTGGCGTGGAGACCATCTGGGGTACTGAGATTTGAGCCTGAGTCACGCCAAGTGCCCTATCCCCTGTACTGCTGCTCCAGTTTTTAGTTTTTAGTTTTGGGCCACACGGGGTGGTGCTCAGGGATCACTCCTGGCGGGCCCCACGAGGTGCTGGGGACCAAGGCCAGGTCTACTGCGTACGAGGCCAACGCCCTCCTGCCGCCCTCGCACTCTGGCCCTGGTTTGCTTCTTTCAAGGAAACATCACCGACGCCAGGCCCGACCGGGGCAGGTTCTGTCCTTCCCCGGTGGAGCCCGTGCTGACACCACCCGTGTGTCATCAGGTGGCCCCGCCCGGACCGTGACAGCCTGCAGTGAGCTCTGGGGCTTGGGGAGGGCTACAGACCCGGGCCGGCCATGTCTCAACACCAAGGGCAGGTGCCCGCCTCAAGGAGGTGGTGTGGGAGACGCCCCCAGGAGCCCAGAGCATGGGGGACGTCTGGGGCGTGGACGCCTTAGCCTCCTGCACTCGGGGAGCCGTCCTGCCCTCACCCGACACAAGCCCTCCTCTGAGTGTGGGGGACAGAGGCCCAGCCCAGCCCACGGGCCCCACCGGGTCCAGGAAGAGCTGAAAGCCCCCGGCCCACAGCCCCGCCTCACGCGTTGGTACTGGGCCCGGGGGGAGGCAGGGGGCTACCTGGAGCTCGGCCTTGCTCTTCCGGGAGCTCCTCCGCACAGGGTAGAAGTCCGTGAGTTTGCGGTTCTGCGGCGTTTTCCCTTGAGCTCTGCAGCGGGAAGAAGAAAACAGCCCGGCCTGAGTGTGGGCAGCCGTGCCCAGGAAGCCCTGGGCCGTGCCCGCATCCCTCGACCCCCCGCGCCACACTCCTGGACCCGCGCCGTCCGGGCTGGGCACTCACTTCTTCCTCGGGGCCTGCTTGCCCTTCACGGGCTTCTTCAGGCCTTGCTTGGTGACAGCTGCGTTGGAGGGTTCACAAGGTGAGGTCGGAGATTCTGCTGCTTCCGGTTTTTGGTTTGGAAAAGGGGCCAGGGGGCCCCTCCTGGAGTCTCTGAGCTTCTGTTCCTCGGCCTTCATGGCGCCCCGGGGCCCCGTGGCCGAGTTCCTCTTCTCTGCGGGCGGAGGGAGAGACTGCGGTTTTTGCCGGCACTGTGTTTGGTTTGGGTCACACCTGGAGGTGGGGCCGCGGGCTGGCCAGGCCTCTTTGGCCGTGTCCAGCTCACAGTGCTGGAGCCCGTCCCAGGGAGGCTCGGGAGCCCAGCCTGGCCCCGGGTACCAAGCCTGCCCTCAGCCCCCCAGCCCGCGCCCGGCCCCACAAACAGTCCCTGTGGCTCTGAGGAAAAGGCCTTTCAGGCTAAAGCCCTGAGGCAGCCACACTGGCCTGAGCAGCCCTAGGCGCCGGCCATCAGTCTCGGGGAGAAGACTAGGCCCTGGAGAGCAGGAGAGGGCAGTGCAGGGAGGCACAGCACAGTGAAGCAGACACAGAGAGACACAGACATAGACACACAGAGACACACACATAGACACCCAGACACAGACAAGACACAGAGACACAGACACGGACACACAGACAGACACAGACACAGACAGATAGACCCAGACAGACAAACAGACATACAGACACAGATACACACACACAGGCACACACAACACAGCAGACACAGATAACGCAGAAACACACAACACACAACACAGCACAGGGAAGGACACCCACAGAAACACAACACACTGGCACAACACTCACAGCACACAGCACACACACCAACATGGCACATACACACACCCCCAAAGCACACACGGGATACACCCACACACCACTCCCCCTACAACATTCGCGCGTGCGTGCATGCACGCATGCACGCACACACACACACACACACACACACACACACACACACACACGGTTCCTGTGCGTGGCCAGCCAGGCTGAGGCTTCTTGCAAATGAAGGGCAGGGGAAAGGGCCCAGGTAAGGAGCCTAAAGCGTGAGGCAGGGGTTGGATCTGGGCGCCGCTGAAAGAGAAAGGCTCTATCTTCCCGGGGGCTAGGACCATCCTCAGAGCGGTCCTCAGCATGCCCGGGCACTGGCCGCAGTATCGTGAGGGACAGACAGAGAAACTGATTCAGGCCGAGAAACGGTTGTTTCTGAGCCACGCCTGGAGGTGCTTGGGGACCGCTTGTGACTGCGGGGGGGATGAAATCAGGGTTGCCAGCATCAAGGGAAGCACCCGAAGCCCTGCTCCCCGCACCATTCACTTTCAAAGATGATTCACAGGCCAGGAAGACGGCTCACAGAGCGAGAGAGAGCAGGCTTCCCTGGGGATCGCCACGCCCGGAACCACATCCTTGCTGTCCCCTTGAGCATCATCAGCCATGGGGCCCTTTTTGATTGTTTTGGCCACATCTGGCAACCATATAAGGTACGGGGAACTGAACTAGAGTTGGACAGGCTTAAGGCAAGCATTTTCACCCTGCACTGTCTCTCTAATCCCCAATTTGTATTTATTTTGGAACAGGATTGGGCTTAGGGCTAATTCCTGGCTCTGTGTTCAAGCATCACTCTGGGAGGTGCTCAGGGGACCACGTGGGATGCCAGAAATTGAACCCAGGTTGCCCACATGCACAGGAGTGCCCTACCCTGTAATACTATCACTCCTGCCCCCAAATTTTTATTTTGTTAGTGTTTTCCACCCTAGAGAAGCCTGTGTTCTCTTAGCAGGTATTTCTCTCTTCTGCTTCTCCCACTCTGGAGAAGCCCGTGCTTTCACTTGAACACATTTTCCTCTCTTTCTCTCCCATCACATACAAGTACATTTCTTCCAATAAAAACTATTTTGGAAAACAAAAATTTTTAAGTTTTTCTTTATTTTGAAGGGGCCACATCCAGGATCTAACATGCCAAACAAGCACTTATACCCCTGTACCTGCTCTCCAGCCCTAGTTTAAAAGAATTTTGTTTGTTTTTGGGTCACACCTGGTGGAGCTCAGAGCTAACTCCTGGCTCTGCCCAGGGGTCACTGGTGGTGGGGCTTGGGGGATCGTATGTGGTCCCAGAGACAAAACTCAGGTCAGCTGTGTACCAAGGAAAGTATCCATTGTAGTATCTCCCTGGTTCTAAAATCATTGTTATTACCTTGGTTTTCGGGCCTTTTTTTTCTTTTTGGGTCACACCCGGCCATGCACAGGGGTTATTCCTGGCTCTGCACTCAGGAATTACTCCTGGCAGTGCTCAGGGGACCATATGGGATGCTGGAAATCGAACTCAGGTTGGCTGCATGCAAGTCAAACGCCCTACCCGCTGTGCTATTGTTCCAGCCCCCAGGGGCCTAGTTTTTTAAAAGTAAAATACAATCGTAGGACAAGGACTAGAGCAACAGGACAGCAGGTAGGGAGCTTGTCTTGCACGCGGCCGATCTGAATTCAACACCTGGCATCCCGTATGGTCTCCCGAGCTCATCAGGAGTCAACCCTGAACACCAAAACCAAAAAAGAGGGGCTGGAGCAATAATACAAGTGGGTAGGACATTGCAGGCAGCTGACCTCGTTCAACTTCTGACATCCCAAGCACCGCCAAGAGTAACTTCCCCCAAGCATCACTAGGAGTAACCCCTGAGCATCACTGGGTGTGGCCCCAAAACAAACAAAAACCAAAAAAGAAAACAATACACTGCTGATTGGAAACGTGCAATGGCGCAGGCACTGTGGAAGAGGAAGCAGATCTTCCAAGAGTTAAACAGTTACCACATGAGCCTGCCACTCTCCTGCTGCCATCTCTGAAGGGAATTAAAAACATATGTCCACACAGAAAGTCGGCAGCTTACTCAGTCCTGGCCCAAGGGGGAGAAAGCCTGACGTCTAGACTAGGTCCAGTCCCGGGATGGAGCATTATTTGGCCACAGAAAGGAATGAACAAGGAATGAACCTTGGACAAGAGGAGATGGGGAAGAGACGGGCACCCGGGCGCGTGTGGCAGATGGGTGAGACGAGCACCCGGGGGCGCGTGTGGCAGATGGGTGAGGGCACCCAGCAGGAGCCACTTATGTGCAACAGAAAGTGACTTGCGGGCTGGAGCCATATTACTGCGGGGAGGGCACTGGCGTGGCAGGCAGTGACCTGGGCTCGATCCCCAGCACCCCACATAGTCCCTGGAGTCTCCTGGGAGTAATTCCTGAGCACAGAACCAAGTACACCTTGAGCACTGCCTGGTGTGGCCCAAAACCAAAACAAAAAACGACAACATAAAAGTGATTTGTGGCTGCCAGGGCTGGGGGAAGCCAGTCAGGAAGTGGGGCTGAGGGGGATGAAAATGTTCTAGAATGAGAGTCGTGTGGCCCCCTTTTAAAAATCTAACCCACCCATGCAGACCGTTTCCGTTTCCTTGTGCGGAGCCTTCCTGAGTAGAAGCAGGGAACCGAGGCTGGGCCCCAGGCGTTGTCAGAGCCTGGGGCCACCAGGCAGGCCCTGCGGGTGGCCAGAGAGAGCCTGGCCCCACCTTTGCTTCCACCTAATTTCAACCCTCCCCCTGCCTAACACTGGGAGTTCAACCCGCTGGCCTGGGCCTATGTCACCACAAGCAACATTACATGTTGCTTCACTAACATGCTACAGTACATTAACAACAGTATTAACATTACTATGTTGCCCATGTCACTGGCCTCCAGGTGGGGTCAGAGCCTTGCAAGCAGCCACTGCCCAGGCGGCCTCCACTCAGTGGATGGAGAAAAAGCCAGTCCCATCTGCACAGGGCAGAGGGTGTGGCGAGGGCTGACTCCGGCCCCTCACGCCATCATTTATGGCGCCTCCTGTTAATGCAAAGACTTCCTCCTTAGGGCCTCCAGGGCAGAGTCCCCAGCTTCTCGGCAAGTTTCATTCTTTCACACGTGCAGTACTCAGGACTTAGTTCTGGCACCCTCAGGGGACCCAACGGGGTGCCAGGGTGGAACTGGGGCGGTCGCAAGCAGGGCAAGCACCTCTCATGGCAAATGTCAATGAACAGGGAGCCATCATCTGTGGCTTCAGAAGGGACTATCCGATGTAGACATGGCTGTCTGCTTTTGGGCCACAGCTGGCAGTGCTCAGAGCTGACTCCTGGCTGTGCTCAGGGAACCATATTGGGTGTCGGGGACCGAGCCCTGGTTGCCACGTGCAAGGCAAGTGCCCTCCCTCTGTACTAACGCTTAGGCCTCAGAGCGTGACCTCTAAGAGGTTTCAGCTGGTCTAGGAAGGCACAGACGCTACTTCGGAGGCCTCCGTCTTTCCCGCGGCCTCTTAGCTCCCCACCTTTAGAAAGCTGCGCTCAGACTTGGGCCACAGAACTTGGGAAATGAGGCCAAGGAAGGAAGTTGATCCTCTCCGCGGGGCAGTGGGGACCCCAGGCCCCCCACAGGACCCCAGCTCACTGCCGCAATGCTCCTAGCACCCGAGCCTGCCAACTCAGAGCAGGTGCATTCCCTCTGCAACCTGGCCAGGCTACCAGGCTTGAAGGTCATGCTAACTGGGGAAAGCGGGAGAACCTGTCAGACCCACAGGGCGGGGCTCTGGCCGAGAAGCCACCCTGCCCTCCCGGGGGTCTGTGGGTCCCGCAGCTGAACAGGGCAAGGGTCAAGCTCTGTGACCTGGCCCCACCCGCTCGCGCAGGGCGGTGGTCGGCACCGCCTGCCTCCCAGGCTCACCTTCTCGTTTCTTGTAGCTCCCGGTTAATGGCTTCCCCTGGCATCTGACTTCGTGATGTGCAACTGAGTTCTCTTCCTGGAGCGGGGAGCGCATTCCGGAGCATTTGTTCGAGCTCATGTAGGAATAGATCTTTGACTGCCCGGCAAATACATTCTCCTAAAACGACAAACGCCGATTCTGAAAGAGCCTGGCAGACCACGTCGGCAAGGGGCAGCAGGAAGCCAGACAGCGCCGCGCCTGGGAGGCTGGCGGCCGGCCCGGCCGGGCACTGCGGGTGCCCGGGCCGCTGCCCATCACCCAGTCACTCCGTCCCCGCCCGGGCCCGCGGACGCGCCACGGGGCGTCGGGAGGTCACGGCGACCCGCGCGGGCCACGGGACCCGGGGTTCAGGGGGCTGGGTGGGGAGGGGAGCTGCCGCCCCCCTGCCGGGCCCGGGGGAGGCCAGGGCCTGCAGAGCGCTGCGGCCGGGCGGCGGCGGCGCGGGGCGCGGAGGGGCGGGCCGGGCCGGGCCGGCGGGGTGCGGGTGCGGGTGCGGGGCGGCCCCTCGGGCAGGCCGCGGGGCAGCGCCGGCGGGGCGCGGGGCGGGCGCGGCGCGGCGCGGGCGCGGGGGGCGCCTCCCCGCGACCCCCGCCGGGGCCGGAGGCCGCCGAGACAAACTTTCCCGAGCCGGGGCCGCGCCGGGCCGGGCGGGCCGCGGGGCGGGCGGGGGACCCCGGGGCGCGCCCACGTGCTCCGCGCGGCCGGCGGGGCCGGCGCCTGCTTACCCCGTCGGTGCGGGGCCTCCCCGGGCCCCTCCGCTCCGCCATCGCCGGGCCCGGGGCCGTCGCTGCCACCGCCGCCGCCGCCGCCGCCGCCTCCACCGCGCGGGGCTTGGACATCTTCCTGCCTGGAGAGGGGACCCGGGGAAGCGGGGACGGGCGCTCAGGGCGCGCGGGCGGCGGGGAGCGGGGCCGCTGCCAGGTTCCCGGGGCCCCGCGCGCCGCCCGCCGCCCCCGGCCCGACACACCCACCTGCAGCCCGGCCAGGCCCATGGCGGCGCGGCCCGCGCCCTCGCCCTCGCCGCGGCCCGGCCACCAGCGCTGCCGCCGCCGCTGCTGCTGCTGCTGCCGCCGCCACCAGCGCCGCCGCGGCGCCCCGGGGAACGGCCGCCGGCGCCCCGCCGCGCCCCCCCTCCCCCATGGCCGCACTGGGCCCGGCCGGCCCGGGAGCCGCACGCTCGACCGGCGCAGGCGGCGCGTCCTGCCGGCCCGCCCGCCGCCGCCCACCGCGCGCCCGGCCCGGGAGGGGCTGCAGGGGCGGCGCCGGCGGCGGCGAATCCGGCTCGGGCGCGCCCCCTCGCGCGCGCGCGCGCAGCCGGGCCCGGCCCCGGGACGCCGAGTGACAGCCGGCTCGGGAGGCGCCAGGGCCCGGGCAGAGTGCTGGCGGGGCTGGGGGCCCTCGGGTCCGGGGTCCCCCTTGCAGCCGTGGAAACGGAGGCCACCGGCTACGACGCCGTGGAGCCAGGTGTCCACCCACCCAGGTGGCCGGCGCCTTACCGTGCACCAGGGGGACGCAGAGCCATGGTTAAGTTCTCGGGGAGCTTCTCAGGCCTACCCAGACCGACTTAGACCTCACCAGCACCCCGAAACGAAACCTTTCTAGGGAACAGGGCTGGCAAAGTGAGCGCTTCGCCCAGGTCTCGGACTGGAAGGGGACTTCAGACTGGCCGCCACTGCACCTCCCGACGGGGGGCGGACAGGAAGGAGGCTTGCTGAGACCCCCATTTCTACCCACCCCACGGGCCGCGGTCAGTAGGAAAGTTAATGTCACAGAGGCTAGGCCCGAGCCATAGCACAGACCGGAGGGTGCTGGCATTGCAGGCGGCCAACCCAGGTACCATCCCCCGCACCCATATGGTCCCCAGAGGGCCATCAGGAGTGATCCCTGAGCAGAGCCAGGAGCCTGAGCATCCCGTGTGGCCCCAAACGAGAGACGCCAGGACCCCCAAAGCACACAGCTCTAGGGGCTGAGTCCTAGCCAGGCGGCAAGGCCGGGATTCCTCTCCCTGCCTCTGCCCCAGCAGTTCTCTGTGACCACATCAGGTCACTTCCCCAGTCTCGCCTCAGGGCCGCCACCAGGAACACTGACTCCCATGTCCTACTAGGCCGATATGGCCTGCCGCCCATCCTGGCTACCCACAGCGTGCTCAGAGATGCAGAGGGCTTTCACTCAGGGCACATGGTCACCCCGCAGCCCAGGCCTTTTGACCGTGGGGGTGACACCAGCAAGACACAGTAGCTTCAGGGTGTGTCACCAGACTCCTAACAACCATGCTTTGGGAGCAGGAAGTACCAATAACTCCCCGTCCACTCCCTGACTATCAGAAGCCCCTCCCGCAGGCGCTATCTGGTCTTGGCTCCATGTCATTGTCTGGAAGCTGGAAATCACCTTAAAATACAAGCTTAGTACTCAGTTCTACAGCTCTAAAACCAAGAGGATGTGGGCGATAATACAGCAGGTGGAGTGTTTGCCTTGCATGCAGCCGACCAGGGTTCAATCCCTGGTATTCCACATGATCCCCCAGCCTGCCATGATTCCTCAGTGGAGAGCCAGGAGTAAGCTCTGAGCACAGCTGAGAGTGGCCCCAAAACAATCAAACAACAACAAAAAAAAAAAACTTACAATGCCCAGGTTTTCACGTATCTTCATATATGCATAGAAAACCTACCCACGAATCTGAACCAGTTCTGCTTTGAGACTACTTGATCATAAAGGCTATAATTGCTTCCCTGAAACTCAGTGTAATGGCAAATCATTCATTCAACAAACATTTGCTAAATGCCTATTTTGTGATGGTCCTGTACTAAAGCCACCACTGGAACAGAGTGACAGGCTGAGCAGTTAGGCCAGAGGGTGGGAAGGACCCTCTCGGCCCTGGTGAATACTGGATTGATCCTCAAGCCTAGGGGGAAGCTGGGTCTGGGGGAGCTCATGATAAAAATCCCACGCTAGGGGCTGGAGCCATAGCACAGCGGGAAGGGCGTTTGCCTTGCATGCGGCCAACCCAGGTTCAATTCCCAGCATCCCATATGGTCCCCTGAGCACTGCCAGGGGTGATTCCTGAGTGCAGAGCCAGGAGTAACCCCTGTGTGTCGCCAGGTGTGACCCAAAGAGAAAAAAAAAAATCCCACGGTAGCTGCAGAGGGATAGGGTCGGAGAGACAGCAGGGGATGGCTAAGGCACTTGCCTTGCATGTGGCCAACTCCAGTTCCATCCCCAGCACTGCATATGGTCCCCCGAGCTATGCCAGTGTGGTCCAACCTTCCCCCACCACCACCAAAATAAAAAGTGGAGATGGGTAAGTGGAAAGAGGAAGGCAGATTAGGAGGCCAATGTACAGTGAGGACAGAGGATAAAAGCAGCTGTTCAGGGGCTGGAGTGATAGCACAGTGGATAGGGCATTTGCCTTGCACGCAGCCAACATGGCCGACCCAGGTTCGATTCCCAGCATCCCATATGGTCCCCCGAGCACCGCCAGGAGGAATTCCTGAGTGCATGAGCCAGGAGTAACCCCTGAGCATCGCCGGGTGTGACCCAAAAAGCAAAAAAAAAAAAGCAGCTGTTCAGATCCTGTTCATGAGGCTGTAAATATTTACACAATTGTAAAATGTCAAGAGCAGAGATGATGGTACCTTCTGTCATATGACCTGGCCAGACTCTCGAAGCAAACCACAAGTTTGGAGCAAAGATCACTTTTCTAGGAGAAAAAGACTTTTGAAGTTGTGTAAGTGATTTGATAGTTATGACACTAAATGCCCAGTTTGAAAGTTCCCAAAGGGCGAGGGATGTAGCTCAGAGATAGAGTACTTGCCTTGCATGCTTGAGGCCCTATTCGATGCTTGGGGTCACATTAAAAAAAAAATGGGGCAAGCAAAATGGATGAAAAGGCTAAAGTGCTTCATATGATCCTTGGCACCATGTGGTGGGTCCTACCACTTGTAGCTCCAAAACAAGTTTTAAAAGTAATGAAGCCTCGGAAATGAGTAATTATGAAGCTGAGGGTCAGTGAGGGAGTGGGACTCACTACAAATTGTCTGAGTGACTCATGAGCCTGCCTTGCTAGGAGCTGGGGGGCAATCTCTTTACTTTGGTTACTAGTGAGGCAGAAGAACAAGCAAAGAGACACCACAGCCAGGTCTAGACAGAGACTTTATATAAAGTTGACAGCTAATGTGTCTGAGTGGGAATTATCATTTACCCATTTCAAATATATAAATATTTCAAAGGCCAAGTGGTTAATAGTGTTTAATTAAAGCAAGCTACAGGGCCAGATGGTGCTCAGTGGTGCTCAGGGCTATTTCCTGGTCCTGGGCTAGCACTCCTGGTGGGACTGGGGGACCATATGGGTTGCCGGGGGAGAACCAGGCCAGCGGTGAGCCAAGCAAGCACCTTACCTGCAGTACTATCTCTCCACCACTGCTCCCCCTTTCAATTCACTGCTGTTGCAACAGTTTAAATGACTTTGCCCTGATGGGGAAGATGATTCAGGGAAATACCGTTTCACTAAGATTTATCAGATATGCTTAAATATACTCTGAGATGCTTAGAACTTTTCTGATGAGAAATGTGCACCCTCATTTATCCTCTGTGGGTTGGAGCGCGAGCTCTTTAACTTGAAGTTCACTATGCCTCATTTCCTAATCAGAATCTGGGTAAATCCCCAAAGACCCCAAAGGGACGCTGGGAGAGTAAGTGATGCAAGGGGGTGCAGGGCTGCGAACAAAGGGGACCCTGGAAACACCGGCAGAGCACATCCTCATTTCACTCACTGCAGGGCCGCGCTGCATTAGGCCAAATTCCGGCTCGCCTGTAAAACCCTCTTACTTTTGATAGACATCGCAACCCTTCACTTATTTTTTTTTTAAAATAACCACAATCCTACAATAGCCTTCATGCTGGTTGTGCAGAAGTGACCAGCGGTTGGAGAACACTTTGCCGCATAGCCGCGGGTCGACCGTCCGACCCTCACCTAAATGGGCAAAGGAGGCCCGAGGCGGGGCTCCCAGGCTTGCCACCGCACCCCAACCATCTGCTGTTCGGGAGGGGCCGGGTGTCGCCCACGGGCGCGGGAGCTGAGTCCAGGCGGGGGGGGGGGCGGGGGGGAAGGGCCGGGGCGCCGGCTGCCGCGGTGTCCCCGGGATGTAGGTTACCGAGCTGCGCCCTCGCCGCGGGGTCACCTCCTCTCCCGGCGCGAGTCCGGCGGCGGCTGAGCCTCGCCCGCGCCTCTCGGGGACCAACAGCCACCATCTCCCCGGAGGTGCCCGCGCCCTGGTGTCCTAAGCACTTTCACATATGGACCCACCGCCTCCGGCGAGGGCGGCGCGGCGTGCTGTCCGCATGCTGGAGAGGGGAAATCGAGTCACGGCAGTGGACGGGGCTTCCGGGGGCTTCGGGAGCCGGCCGGCCAGCCCTCCCTCTCCCCGGGGAGGAGAAGGTTCCGCAAGCCTTCCCCTCCCCCACCCGGAGCCGGCGTTCGGTGGGAGCAGCCGGCGGCAGCAGGGCGCCTCCCCGCCGCCGCTCCAGCCACCCCGGCCCCCCTCCGTCGCCACGACCACCCCAGTCGCCCCGGCGCTGGCCACCAGGGCCAATACCTCTAGCCATGGCCCGGCTCTGTCACCGCCTAAGATCTCCCGGGAAACCGAGCTTTCAAAAAAAGTTGCAACAACTGTAGCCAACTGCTCCGCGGAGCCACGGCTGCTACCCTGATTGGCGCCGGCGCCCGCCTCTCCCCAAGCTGCCCCTCGCGATAGGCGAATCGGAGGGAGGGCCCGCCCCTGTCCCCGCCTCCCCGCTGGGGGCGGGGCGAGCGGCTCAGCTTTATACAAACGCTTTCGGGACAGGCTCCGGCGGAGGAGGTGGGAGGGGGTTTAAATTTCATCGTCCCCCGGCGCTGATTGGCTGCGGGGGAAAGACACCCGCACTGTCATTGGCAGGCCCGAAACTCCTCCCTCCCCCTGCGCCAAAGCTCCTCCTCGCGGGCTTTAGTCACGCGGCTGCGAGCCCGGGCCAGGGTGGATCTGATGTGAGACTTCCGGTTTTCGTCCCGTTTGACCGGAACCCGACCTTTGACCTCGCGACCTCCACTTATGACCCGGAGAGCCTCCACTTTCCCAGGATGT